TGGCCAGAGAGGACAGCGAGGCGGGTGTGGCAAGGTGTGGGCTGCCCAGACCCTGACCAACATCCACATCATGCCAGTCTGCACCCCAAATCTCTGTCCAGCAGACATCTACCTCAGCCATCGTACCAAACCTTAACAATGCCCTCACCACAAAACCAGGACCACTGACCACAGCATCCAGACCCTTATTCTAAAATCTCTGGGCACTGACCGCACTGCTCTAATCCTCACTCTAAAACCCTGACCACTGTCCACACCACTTCAATCCTCACCATAAAACCCTGACCACTGGCCACACCACCTCAACCCTCACACTAAAATCCTGACCACTGCCCACCAACCTCAGTCCTCACCCTAAAATACTGACCACTGTCCACACCATTCCAATCCTCACCCTAAAACCATGACCACTGGCCACACCACAGTCCTCAACACAAACCCCTCACCACTGCCCACACACCTCAGTCCTCACCAAGAGTGACCACTGTCCACACCACCTCAATCCTACCCTAAACCCTCACTACTGCCCACCCACTTCAACTGTCACCCTAAAACACTGACCACTGTCCCCACCACCTTAATCCTACCCTAAACCCTCACTACTGCCAACCCACTTTAGAATCTTCATTCTAAAACCCTAGCCACTATACATAGCACCTCAATCATGACCCTAAAACCCTGATGATTTTCCACACCACCCCAATTTTCACCCTAAAATCCTGGCCACTGTCATGGATTATGAACAATGGACACTGATTTTGAGCTCTGTGCTGTGGACTGCGTTGCTGGTATTGGGCTGTGGACTGTGGTGTTGGTGTTCTGCTGTGGGCTGTGGTGTTGGTGTTGGGCTGTGGACTGCAGTGTTGGTGTTCTGCTGTGGATTGCGGTGTTGGTGTTGCACTGTGGACTGTGATGTTGGTGCTGCGCTGTGGACTGCGGTGTTGGTGTTGGGTTGTGGACTGTGGTGTTGTGCTGTGGACTGAGTTGTTGGTGTTGGGCTGTGAACTGTGGTGTAGGTGTTGGGCTGTGGACTGCAGTGTTGGTGTTCTGCTGTGGATTGCGGTGTTGGTGTTGCGCTGTGGACTGTGATGTTGGTGCTGCGCTGTGGACTGCAGTGTTGGTATTGTGCTGTGGACTACGGTGTTGGTGTTGGGCTGTGGACTGTGGTGTTGTGCTGTGGACTGAGTTGTTGGTGTGCTGTGAACTGTGGTGTTGTGCTGTGGACTGAGTTGTTGGTGTTGGGCTGTGAACTGCGGTGCTGGTGTTCAGCTGTGGACTGTGGTGCTGGTGTTCAGCTGTGGACTGTGGTGTTGTGCTGTGGAGTGTGGTACTGTACTGTGGACTGCAGTGTTGGTGTTTGGCTGTGGACTGTGGTGTTGTGCTGTGGACTGCACTGTTGGTGTTGGGCTGTGGACTGTGGTGTTGATGTGGACTGAGTTGTTGGTGTTGTGCTGTGGACTGTGGTGTTGGTGTTGTGCTATGGATAGAGTTGTTGGTGTTGGGCTGTGGACTGTGGTGGTGTGCTGTGGACTGCACTGTTGGTGTTGGGCTGTGGACTGTGGTGTTGTGCTGTGGACTGAGCTGTTGGTGTTGTGCTGTAGACTGGTGTTGATGATGGGCTGTGGACTAAGTTGTTGGTGTTGGGCTGTGGACTGTGGTGTTGTGCTGTGGACTGTGGTATTGTGCTGTGGACTGAGTTGTTGGTGTGCTGTGGACTGTGGTGTTGATGATGGGCTGTGGACTAAGTTGTTGGTGTTGGGCTGTGGACTGTGGTGTTGGACTGTGGACTGTGGTATTGTGCTGTGGACTGTGGTGTTGGTGTTGGGCTGTGGACTGAGTTGTTGGTGTTGGGCTGTGGACTGTGGTGTTGTGCTGTGGACTGTGGTGTCAGTGTTTGGCTGTGGACTTTGTGCTGTGGACTGTAGTGTTGGGCTGTGGA